TTAAATTTTTTCGCCCTATTAATACTACCTCATTAAATTATGTTATTGGAAAAACCGCAAAACTATAGTAGTGTCATCTAGTGATTAGTAGCCGAACTGAATGTAAAATTTTCGTGTACTAACAAACTAATGCATTTAATATTGCTAACAACAATTGTATCGATTTGAATTAATTAAAACATTATTTAATTCTGCGTAAAGAGCTTTAAATCATTTAATAATGAATATGGAAACGGATGACATGAAATATAATTACAATGACTAATTAAATTGTAAACAATGGTTCTATGGTAACAATTTAATGCACTATACGAACTTCCACTCCTATTTTTATTCCTTTATGTACTTTTTTTCGGAATACAATATAAGATAGCTATAAACTGCCGCGAATTTGTTTAGAACTTTTAAAGGGGATCTATTTCGTGACACATAATTTCTGCGTAACTTTCACCGTTTACGCAGCCACGCAGGAAATCTTGTAAAAGTAAAATATTTTCCCGTTTTTGCAATATTTTTCATTGCTGTTCCATTCCTAGAAGCCATAGCGGGATGTCATATAGCCTATAGCCATTCTTGATAAATGGACTATTCAACACAAAAAAAATTCAAAACTTTCTAGTAGTTCGTGAGATTATAGAGTTCAATCAAGCAAACTCTTCAGCTTAATTATTAGTATAGATTGCGAATACAGAGTAGCCGCAATTATTAGACAAATGTTTTGCAAAGCGATATCAGATTAAAAGGGTACTGCCTGAAACGCTCAAATAGTCCTATATTTATCTTAATATAAATATTCAGTTCTATAGAACTTACAAAAATAAGTAAGTATAACTCAAAAAAAAAGAAAAGGATATCGTGTTCTTCTTCTTTTTAATTAATGGCGTTGCCCTTGTGAATTTCGCCGAAACTATTCTTCTTCTTCTTCTTTTTTAATTAATGGCTTATCTGCGCATTTTGCACAATTCTGCCAATATTAAGAAAATATTAATTTTTACATGTAAAATGAAGATGAAAAGGACGAAAGATGGCGATGTATCAGAAGTTTAGCTCAGGTTTTCGCCGAAAATTAATTTATTTACTTGACATTGGCAGAATTGTGCGAAATGCGCAAATAAGCCATTAATTAAAAAAGAAGAAGACGAACCATAGATACATAATCAAAATTTGTACTAATAAAACTGACGTCTGACCAACCGGTCAAGAAAGCGAAAAAGCTCATATATGTATTATTTTTATTAGTATTACGCTAATAATAATCATGATATGAATCTCCAGAACAGCTGTAGATATGAGGAAATAAAGATTATTACATACATATTTAAAAGATACACGCGAAAACCAAGCCTTTCTTTGTAGCTGGATAAAAAATAAAGACTGACTTTATTTTTGCTTCAAAACATAAACCTCGTACAAAGTTAAGTTTTCGGCCGAAACTGATACTGTTGCCTAATTCGGTATCGGTTTCGGTTGTAAAAACTAGTTTCGGTCGGACACTTTATCCGTGATATATGAATCGATATCCAAATAAACACGTGGGGTCAAGCCGCTGGCGGAAAGAGGAAATCTAAAATTGTCTGCATTGAATTGGCTCCGAAACTTCCAACTCTTATGTTATACAGAGAAATATAATTATTTATCTGGCGACCGTTACAGCACAGTTGATGTGCCTATGACCCCACTATGACATCAGTTTAGTAAATAAACTACATAAGTCTAGTAACGCTACCGAATGTCTATTATTCTAAAACATAAATTGAGTCTTATTCGTGAAGAGAATTAAACTCCAAATTATCAATATACTAATTTATTTAAAGAAACAATCAAGAGTATAAAATACTTATAGAAGAGAAGCGTTGTAGTACACCCGTCCGATAAGATTTTTATTTAGCCACCGCCAGATAATAACGCCTGTTATTTTAGGGCAGCAATATTTTGCCGGTTTTGCGTTGATCGACCAATATGCTTAGATGAATCCGCAAATCCGCGAAAACTACACTAATTGAAATCCGTGATAAAACTAAATGTTGTAACAATAAATATATGGATGCTCCTATTCTCACGGTCCTCTCTAATCACGATCCTTCCGACTGGGAGCACGTGGCATTTTGACAGTCTTCTAACCCCTTAGTAGTTAAGTCAATGACCTTGAAGATTCATCTTAAAAACACATGTGATATAAAAACTATATTGTTGTATTTCACAATGTTGTGCAATGTACAGTCAACTGCAAGTCATACTATACAACTGTCAAATTTCCCATTCGATTTTAAACGTTAATATATAGTGGGTAGAGGTCAAAATCAATTACAGAAATTAGGCTTAATTTGATAAGCTAACGTGCAGCCGTGTTTACATAACTTATTATTTCTCAATATTGTGTAATACACGTAACAATGATCTATCTATATACAACTAGATTTTGCCTGCGACTTCTTCCGCGTGGTAATAGTTACTTTTGGCAGCATTTTAAAAACGCTAAAACAAATTTTCTTAAAATGTCAGTTGACATTTTGAGAATAGATTCAATTTTTAATATATCGTTTTATTCAATTTTTTATTTGTAACAAAGAGCCTATTCACTAACAGTCAGCTTATTACCTTGAAAATTGCGGAAAGTCCTATACAAATTTCTTTTCCCGTTTTTAGGGGATTGGAGGAAAAATCTTGATGAAAATATTTATTGTTTGTAACAAAAAGTCTGTACACCAATTTTCAGCTATTTACCTTGAAAACTGACAAAACTCTCGTAAAACCTATTAAACCCCCCCCCCCTTTTGGAGGCAGATTTCCAAAAGAAAAATGATATAAGTTTTCTTTAGTAACAAATAGTCCGCATACCAATTTATGGCTTTCATCTTAAACACCGAGGAAAGTCCTATACAAATTTCACCCCTCTTATTAGGGTATGGGGGCAGATTAAAAAAAAAATTGATACTCGTATTGTTCGTTAGCTACAAAAAGACCGCATACCAAGTTTTCTGTTGCTCCGTTTTGACATGAAAGACGGAAAAACAAACATACTTTCACATTTATTATATTACTTCAGATACACGTCAAACTGGTAACGTCGTATCTTTGATTTCTATCAGAGATAATAACATAATCTAAATTATCATGCGGCATTTATTGATGATTATAAGACATACTTATTTGTTTTTTTTTTTGTCTTATGAATATTACATTCGATCTTCTTTTTACATTTTTTTTAAGTTTGGACTTGTTCCGTTATACACAGAAATTCTGCCAATATCCCGTAGTGAGAGAGACACGAGACTCGAGATTTTTACATCCTTTTGACGATCTTTGCAGCACGCATTCTGTCAATTTTATATCAAACGTCATAAGGTTACATTAAAAAAGTTTATATTATCCAAAGCACTGGTATATTGTATATAGTGGTCAAATATAAAAAGAAAAACTACACACAATTTTCTTATTTTATTCTTTTATAAGAACCTTCTCCTGACAATAACAAAAACAACAAAACAAGAATTAGCAAATTGGGTTTAGCCGTTGACGTGTGATGGCATGACCAAGGGAAAAAGGGATTCATTTTATATATATATACTCGTAGATCAAAATTATTGTACCTTGCCAATTTCAACTGCAGAAAGTATTAATATTTTATTTTTGAATTATTATAATTTTAACACTAGAAATATACACTAATTCTAAAGATTCAACCGCGGTGGGATACAATATGCTGAGAGGTATCCAGCGTTATGTAGTAGGTACCTCCTATTATTTTAAGAATTTAGTAGTAATCAGGTAGTATACCGTATATCAGGCATAAATTCAAATATCCCGCCGTGGCTGACTCTGACCCATTTATCAATTCGATTTCAAATAATGGTCTTAAATTGGGTGAAATTAAAATTCGAATTAATGTCCACATTTAACTATGTTTATAATTGTATCGACTTTCTAAATACGTCAAATCATGCGCTCATTAAAACGTATTTATCGAATAAACATATTCATCAGAAAAATATTAAAAAAAAAATTTTTTTATTAAAACCCTTATTTTTCCCCTATTTAAACATTTGTACCTTACAACCTAAAAAAATCTGGCAACCCTAAAGACAGGCGAATAATATTTATTTATTCAACATGATAATAAATATAGGAACGTTTTTTAAATGTTATTTTAATACATATCAATAAGCAGGCTATTTGATGTAATATTATACTAATAAATATTTTTAAACAACATCACATATATTCTTGATTCCAAGATGAGTAGCTAAAGCCTACACCCAGGCCCGAGACAATAGAAAAAAAGTGCATTTTCTACATTGAACCGACCGGGAATCGAAATATATGTACTGCAACTGCATTGCCTTTGAATCAATATTTGTTTAACTGTAATTAATTATTCTATAAGACACACGCATTCAGTGTAAAAATATTAATCATAAAATTATAAGGTTTCTTGAAATTTACCTTTTTATGTCGAACAGGGGTGCAACTTTCTCCCCATGACTCTAACCATAAGATACGACATCTTAAGCGATATTATGGCAATATTTCGTTTTATACTATTTTTATAATACACATTTTGCGGAACTGCATACAAAACTGTGAAGTGGCTCAAAAATGCATAAGATTTAGTTATGCGTAAAAAAAACAATAATTCAGTAGAACTTGGTTGACTAAAAATATCTTTGTTATATTTAACAAATTATGCAGTTTGTTGTTACGTATGCGTTTTTTTTTCGCATACTTGATGTGTGCATGATAATGTTTATGAGAATTAAGTTTTTATAGATTTTAATGTTACAGTTTAAATAAAAACTTTTGATCGTCAAGATTTTTTTAACAGTATAATATTTTTTTTTGTTTGCGAAATTAATTGAATTTATTAATACTTTAGGTATATCTTTCCATTTTTGTAGAATTATATGAACTGGCAAGTTCTATAATAATTTTAATTTTTCACACTAGTGGCAGCCCTGCTAATAATCTGTAAGTATATAACGGTGATCATATACACAACGAGCAGTATTATCTTATAAAGCACCGGTTGTTACACACCATTCCACCCACCACATTAAGCAAGAAGTAATTTATTTATTGAAAAAATGGAAAAATACATTAGCTTGCAGGACTTTGAAGATGCAGCTACAAACGTCTTGGCAAAACCGGCTATGGAATACTTTAGGAATGGAGCTACAGAACAACAAACATTAGCTGAAAACAGATTAGCTTTTCGAAGGTACTTAAACATTGGCATTACTTACCTATTTCCTTTTACATAACTCACGAAACTATTTTTTTTTTAGCATATTCAAACTGCAACTGACTGCTCCCTTTTAAGTGCATTTAGCACGATTTTTTTTATGTAGTCGATTAAAAAATACGATGAAAACCAACTGCTATTATAAAGACGAAAATATTTGATTGATTGTATGTTTGTTTGTCTGTGTCGTATAGGCTCCGAAACTACTGAACCGATTTATAAATTCTCTCTCCTATGGATAGTGTAGCGAGCACATTACTATAGGTAGCTTTACTCTCCGGACAATTTATGATCAATGCTAAGTTTTCGTGTTCGAATTCGCGTTGGCCTTTCTTACAGATGGATAATTTTACTAGACGCCTTCACCGTAGGGATAAATATTAAATTAAAATAATAACTAAAGATATTTCTCAATCTTCAAACTGAAGAATGTTAATTCCACGTAATATTCTCTACTTTTGATAGTGTCCCACAGTAACACCATCATACGTAGATGATATAGGCTATTATTAAAGCAGGCGAAGTCGCAGGAAAAAAGCTAACCGGCTAAAAAAACCAGCAAACACATGTCGTTCTTTAAATGAAATTCCGGACTCTACGCTGTTTTAGGCCGTTGTGTTATAAAAATAATAACAACCTCCTTCCTCCGTGGTATAATGTGTTACACGCCGGTTTCAAGGTAACGCTACGTTCGATCCCAGTCGTGTCAATTTAAAATATGAAAATTGTCTAATATAAATATTTTTGTCTAATATAAACATAAGACAATTTCAGATCGAACGCGGAACCTCAAAAGTATCGTTACCTTGAAACCGGCGTGTAACACTTTATACCACGGAGGACAGAGATTGTCATTTGATATCGCTAGATTCTTATCTGTGAAATTTTGTTATGAAGAAATACTCGATACATAATTTTTGGGCTGCACACGAAAGCTATTTAAGCAATTTTTATTCTCTCATTTTTCTACTGTGGTTGAATTGGATGGAATTTATAGATTATCCTGTAATATATACATATTTAAAAGCAATTTACACATCATTGTATAAAAGGAAATATTCCGACTTACTGACTGACACAATGCATAGCCTAAACCGCTAGTCGTACAACCGACCCAAAAGAGGTTAAAAAGGGTGCAAACGTTTGTGTGCAACTTTTTTGTTTTTCAAACCTATATCGATGAAAATTTATGTTTGATATTATTATTTCAGGCTGCGGATACTCCCTAAATGTCTTATGGGAATCACAGGGGCTGATCTTCGTACTACTATCCTGGGCCATGAAGTTTCCATGCCTGTGGGTATAGCTCCTTCAGCTATGCAGAAAACGGCACATCATGACGGCGAAGTTGCCATCGCTAAAGGTTATAAAACGTCTTCTATGTTCAAAATGATAATAATACTCCAAAAAACTGGCCAAGACGAGATGTAATACCAGTTGAATCCATGTGTTTCAGCTGCACAAGCGGAGGGAACTATTTACACTCTGAGCACTGCATCTACCTGCTCCATAGAAGAAGTCGCTTCGGCTGCACCAGATGCAATTAAATGGTTCCAAGTTTATGTTTTTAGAGACAGGTGTGTATTATCAACATAGAGAATACATTTATCGCAGCGAAATGTTTAAATAAAGGGCTAACCACTCGATTGTACGGCTGTTTTAACCGAATGGCTACGACATATACATATATGTTCAGGTTTTCGACACCTGTAACTACTTTTTTATTTGTTTAACAGAGAAGTCACGAGGAAATTAGTTATGAGAGCGGAGAAAGCCGGGTTTAAGGCATTACTTCTTACTGTTGATACACCCGTTTTTGGAATAATAAGAAGTGACATTAGAAACAGCTATGCGTTTGCAGAACATTTGAAGTAAGTAAATATTGTAATAACAATATACTTCTGTATATTTTCCGCATTCCACACGAAAATGGTCTAATTCTGTTTTAAAATGTATTTAATTTATAAATTTTCATTAAACTTGAGTAAATAATTTAATTCACTTATGTATCATCATAAACTATATCTGTGAATGCGACCGCATAACTTTCAAGCCATAGGATAAGATACCACATCTTAATGGTATTATGGCGATTTATCGTTTGATTTTGCTACTTTGACATGTATTTTTAGTGGTTAAATGACTAAAGGCCAGTTTCAAAAGTATAAAATATGAGCTGACTATTCTCAATAAGTTAACCTTGTTACTTTTCACAAGGTAAAGTGTCCTAGCATTTATTAATCTGCTATTCTACTAAATAAATTTTGTTTAAATCAAATCGAAAACGGATCGAAACCGAAAAACCGAATAGAAAAACCATTAAAAACTGTAGTTTCGTTCGGTTTCTATCCGTTTTCGATTCGATTTAAACAAAATTTATTCAGTAGAATTGGCCCCTGAGCGCTTAGTGTAAGTTTTTTTGACATTAACGTTCACTGTCGATCGTGAGCGCGTTAAGATTTTAGTATGGAATCCGGTACAGCGCCCCTAGCGGTAACTACCAAGAAGTACAAATCTCCATACAAATTGTTGACACGCTCACTAGTGAACGCGTTAGCGTAAAACTTACACTTACCACTCTGATCATTAAAAAACTAAAATCAGAAAAAAAACCTGTTTAAGTGACATTTAAGTACAGTTTGAGTCGTGCTTAAAACTGCTATCAAATCCATTCGTCGTCATTCTTTATCACTCGTTCGTCTTTATTAAAATACATGCCAAAGAAGTAAAATGAATTTGAGAATACATTAAGTAATTATTTTTGAGATTACCTACCCCCACATAAGTTATCAATTTGTGAATACTTATGAAATAGGTCCATAACCCATGTTTTCATTTCTTTCAGACTAGCTAATTTTGTAGAGTATTTCTCAAAGTCAGATAACGCAGATGATGACATGAAAGATTACGTCGGAAAATTATTTGAAAAAACTTTGACTTGGGAAGATGTGAAATGGTTAAAAAGGTTAGTTTTATTAAACTTTGTGGATTTATAAAAACATTTTCCAATGAATATAAAATAATAAATGGTTCATTTATGAAGGGTAAGAGTAAATTTAAAAATTTATACACATTATCATATCATGAACATAATTTAAGAATCTAATTTGTTACAGTATAACAAAATTACCGGTAATAGCAAAAGGTATACTTCGTGCTGAAGATGCAGTGAAGGCCGCGGAGATGGGCTGCTCCGGCATACTGGTGTCTAACCACGGAGCCCGGCAACTAGATGGACTTCCAGCGACGGTAATGATAGCTTGTTATAACGTCCTTGACTCTTTTTATCTTTTCGCCTTTTTCCAGAATTAAAACTCAGTATTCTTTAGTACTGGGTCACCAAAAATACTGTCTTATCACGCTCCCTTTTTTGCGTTACCTACAAAATTTGGACAAAAATGTTATGTCTTCCGAGTATCTTATTGAGCAAATTGTTGCATGTTGTGTTTGCCGATAAGAATTTGTGACAATTTGATATTAATAATCTACATAAGTACTATACTTAATAAAAGGAGACGTCTTGACTTACTGACTGACTGAAAAAATTAGAACCGATTTCGATCTTTAAAAGAGTGAGAAATAATACTTAAAAGCTACTTATTCAGAAAATTGCTATTGAAATCAGGCGACTAGAAACCTCCACAGTTACTGGAATAAATCGCTTTTAAGTTACGTATTATTTCTCATTTTTCTATATTTTAAGTTAGTTCTTATTTAAAAAAAAAATGTGGAATCCAATTTTTACTTAATAGGAAAAAAATATTAATTATCTTACACTCATATCATCATAGTCGAGAGAAGTATTTACTTGAGAATATGTCATCATTTAATGGTATTTTGACTATTTTTTCAAGAATTAAAAATAAGTAAGAACTGTAATTAATTAGAATACTATTATCTTTAGCTATTAACAGTTCTTTAGCTTCAGTTTTAGCCTTTCACACGATGTAGGCAATAAATCAATATTTTTTTGGGTTTTTGGAATTTGCTGACCAAAGTTTATACCACGTCGACGGAGTTGCGGGCAAAAGTTAGTATAGTATTATAATAAGCCAAGGATATTGTAAACAAATGTCGGCAAAGTTATTATCTAAATATTGACGCCAGTATGTTGCATTAGAAGAACTCTGAGTTTAACATAGAAACACTTTTTTTCAGATTGAAGTATTGCCTGAAGTGGTAGACGCACTGAAAAACTACAACGTGGAAGTGTATATGGATGGAGGTGTGACAACTGGTAATGATGTCTATAAAGCTTTAGCGCTTGGAGCAAAAATGGTTAGTATTTATAGCTTATTAACATACTTATAACATGATACCTAATTATCTAATGTCTTGCTAGAAAGCCAGGAAGACTGGTCATTCTTTTGCTGGTAGACTGACTTACGTCAGAATAGCTACAGAGAGTACTTGTCGCTGGTAGCACGTCGTTTATATCTATACTGATATAAAATACAATTAGAATTATAGTATAATTCAAAGATAAATGATACTCATACTATATATTGAGTAGCTCGGTTGCGTAGTGGATAAGCGTCGCGGCCCGCGATCGTTGTCGTGAAGCAACTTTCGCAAGGGTCGGTCACGGGATGGGTGACCAAAAAATGATTATCTCGAGCTACTCCATGCTTCGGAAGGCACGTTAAGCCGTTGACCCCGGCTGCATTTGCAGTCGTTAATACCCTCCAATCCGCATTGGGTCAGCGTGGAGGGTAATGGCTCATGGTCCTTAACCATCCATAAGGGAGGCCTGAGCCCCTGCAGTGGGGACGTAAAAGGGCTGATGATGAATAATATATTGAGGAAACATTTGATTGTTTGTTTGTTTACAATAGTTTCCGAAACTACTGGACCGATTTTAAAAAATCTTTCACCTGCGGTAAGCTTTATCAAATGCGGTGAACATAGGCTATATTTTATCCCGAAAATTTATATGGGGAATTAAAACGTTACCATGGTAACGATATCCAAATAAACAGTTCCCCAGAGACCACGCGGGCAAAGTCGCTAGCGGAAGCTATAGAAATTATATTTGTGATATAATATCTTGATCTTGATGTTTACCCTTACAAACATGCTCGTCATGAATCTCAAACCTTTGGTTAATGATAAGGAAACTGTTATTTATTATCATGTTTTGTTTACGAATGTTTTTAGAGAAGTGGCGATGTTTTGCTTAATTAAACTAATTTTTTTACAATAGGAAAATCCCATGTCGGATATATACGATGACATAATATACATAGAATGTTTTTTGGTAATGTAAACATCCTTATTGATTCACTTAATAAACTTTTTGAATGTTGTACGATTCCCTATTCTACAAAATATATGTACCTACCTTATATTAAGCTATTTACCTATAAACAAAACGAACACAAATCAATATTGACCAAAATCACTATTAATTTAAACCTTTCAAAGATGACTTCTTAATTTCAAATATTACGATTATATTCGATGATTTTTTTTATAAAAGTGATCAAGTTCGGTTTGTGGCCCTTTTGTTTATAAACAGTTATTTGTTATCATGCGAGCTGTTATTAATAGCCGAAGAATCGGATTTATAAAGTACCTATCTCGCAGCATTATTGTATTAAAAACAACATCTAATCTAAATACCTACATTAATATCACAAAACAATTCAAAATAGTACTTAATAAAAGAAACTCTACAAAACGTTTTTACAAGCGTATGTATATTAAGGCCACCTAGGTACATAAAAAATATAATTTTGAGAACTATTTCAAATATGTTGCACAATATATTGTACCTATGCTTCAATAACATATATAGTGTTTTTATGAGAAGCAATTGAAAAAATCGTGATATCCAAACGAAAAAATATCTAAACATCATTTTTTTTACTTAGGTTTTAGTTGGACGACCAGCACTATGGGGATTGGCTGTTGGCGGACAAGCTGGTGTTCAGAGAACGCTCAATATATTGCGCACTGAACTCGAGTCTACGGTTCAAATAGCAGGTATAATTACTCATAATGACTTAGCAAAATATACGCCATATCAACAAAAAAGGCCAAATAGTTCACGAATCACTAAACGTCAGAGGACAAGCGCCTCTCGGAAATATGAGTTTGTACATGACGCAATTGCCATCAAGTGTGCAAGGTCGAAAGGCGTGTGAAGCGCCTACGATTGGACGATAATTGTAACTAAGCACACGATAACAGCGAGATATCATCCGAATTGGTAGTTATATAAGCACTGCTAGACCGCTATATCGTCGTGGTACCAGCAATAGGATGTATGTCAAAATACTCGCTGTTTACAAGACGGACAAAAAACTAGTTTTTTTCTAAATTTTGTGTTTTTCCGTCAATTTTATAATTTTCTTATTAATATACTGGCAAAAGAGTGTACATAGTGAGAGGAAAGATATTATGTAATAACAAGTACATAAAAAAATTGACATACAACTATTTGCAATGTATTACTGTCTTTTTTGACATACATCCTATTCTGGACCTGAAAAGCATTAGGTCGGATGTGCAGAACCAGCTAAAATCACTTATCGCCATAACGTTGCTACACTCTTTTTTCTCTTTCCGGCAAATTAACTCTTGTATGTTTGTGCCTTTTTACTCATGAGCAACAGTCATGCATAAAGTCGGATCAGACGACTTTTTCAAATATTTTGATTGCATTTAGCTATTTCTGTTTTTATACAGTTATGCCTAAGATTCCCGACATCCGACCTAATGCTTTTCAGGTCCAGTATTGCTGATACCACGACGATATTATACTACTCTTTGTGCTAGATGCTTTCACACTTTGTCGTTGTAGTCAACTTTATCGCCGATGACAGATTGTCATGTCACCATCGGATGACAACGATATCAACACAATTTTCTGCCGTAAATATGAAATAAAATCAAGTCTAAGGGCGCTTGTGCACTACACTGAATTTTCAGGACCGGCGGTCCGATTTTTTCCGGTCCGGAATGACATGGAAAAACTCGGATGAGTAGCTTGTGCACTTGTCCGTTTTTTTCCTGATCGGAGCGCGCAGTGTAGGGCAGCTCTCTTTGAAGCTACACGTCACTTTCGATAGGTACGATGAGATTTTTGGAACGTTGGTAATTCCGTTCGATGACGTAGAAAGGTACCTAAATAATGATCTGATCGTTTTACATAAGCCATAATAAATTATGGCAAGACGGAAGCATTTTTTTACTACTATCGGATGACTACTATCAGATGTAAAAACTTATACCCTTACTAATTTAGGAACAGCATTATTCACATACAATAGCTAAAAATATCTGACATTAGAATAAAATTACTGATAATGGTCTAGTACATGATGTTTAAATTTTTAAATGTGCTCTTTTTTTCGAAGTTTTGTAAAAACAACTTTCAGCGATTACAGAGATAGACCAATCAGTGGCGCCATTTCGTAAACAAATCGAAATTAGTGCCGTGTTAGCGGAGAATTATTATGCTAAATGAACTTTACGAGATCAGTTGACTGTATTATATATAGGCATAAATTTATACGCGTGGTGTAGTTTCTTTGAGCAGAAATATTATTCCCTTAGAATACTTATTTTTTTTAAAATTTATTAATGACACAAACATACATTAAAATTTTATTAAATGCGAAAAAGACACTGAGTGTCACATAATTACTTTTGTTAATCTTCTGTTTATTCTTTATTATTACTTCTGTTGTCAAATATTTATCTATACTTATCAATTGTTTAAAAAAAATTTGATAATGACAAATTTCCAGGCAAACTTTCATCCCCTATTTTTCGCAATAAAATGTAGCCTATGTAGTCCTTTCTTAAAGTTAAGTCTATTTACTATATTAATTTCCATTTAGATGGGTTCAGTTGTCTAAATGTAACAACACTTATTTATTTACTTGACTTCGCAGACTTTTAATACGATTCTAAAATCTAGCTAAGTATCGATACTAGAACCATATGCTGATCAAATTAGAACTATACTGAGTTTTCCAAAGCATATGCAGTGATATATACCAACTATATTAAATCATCATATAAAATATAGCATTTTATAATCAACAATAAATATCGATTATAAGTTTATTGGAAATTAACAATATTGCCGAAATAAATATCGAATCAAATGGATTATTTTTTCTAATGCCTATTCCTTATGAATTTTCCGGATCGCGGACATAGCAGTGCACAAGCGTAAACACGTTTTTCATTGCCGCCATTCCGGACCTGAAAAAACCGGTCCGGAATAGAGAAAAGTAAAATTCCGGACGGTAAAATTCCTGACAGTGCACAAGCGCGCATTACCTACATATGGCCTGACATATCGGACCTGAAAAAATCGGACCGCCGGACATGAAAATTCAGTGTAGTGCACAAGCGCCCTAACTCATTTACTGCTACTATTGTTACCTCGAATATTCTATTAAAATTTTGGAATCACGCGGTTAGGTTAGAGTGGGTAACAGTGAATCACTGCGTACAGTGGATAATTCACTATAACTTAGTATGTATACATATTACTCTTATGTATTCAATAAAATGTTGTGCCCACTCGTGAAAATCTCTCTCGTTATACACTAATCTTTGACATGGTAGCATCGAAACTATATTTTCACGAAGTTTTTAAATTTGTTTTATATCTAAATGAATAAGAAATCTAGATATATTCTTAATGAAAATGCTTATAAAATCCATCTTTTTCCCTGAACGCTGAGATGGGATTCGAACCCATGACCTATCGCTATCAGGGCAACTGCTCTAACCACTAAGCTACCCAGGACCTAAGAGGACTGACGAATTTTTCAAGCAGTTGTTACTTTTTCGCTACTACAGAGCGTATTTTCATCAATGTTCAGGCAATCCACCCAAACAGCCGAAAGAAATATTTTTACAAAATTTTAACTTTTGATAAAGATGAAAATTTGCTCTAATATATTTGATCAATTTTGAATTCACAATGCTATACTGAAAAATATTCTTAATATTCATTATGAATAAAAAAATTGATCAATTATAATAATAAGTAATATAGATTTTCTCAATTTGCCATTCTCTTGTGACATTGTAGTTTTGTTCTTAAAATAAGCAGTTTTTTTAGTTTATTTCCTTTTCCGTTGCGGTCAACGGAGGTCACAGTGAATTATTTTCATTTTGGGTCACAGTGAAGTTACCTTTGAAGTTGTGTTTTCTTGTTACTTCTTATTTGCTTTTTTTATTTCATACAAGTCTGATGAAGTAAATTTACTATCAGACCCATTCACGCGTTTTAGTGGATCGCGTTTTAATTGAAGTAGCTATGTCTTTCAATTTTAGGCATTAAATATTTGTTATTTTAAGATTAGGTACTCATTTTAAAATCTAAATTGAAATTATTCGATTACCCAAAAATAAAAATAAAATAATTGCTTTAAAAAAAATAGTGACCCACTGTCCCACTCTCCCCTACTTTGAAAAACTGCAAGCAGCCTATTGATTATATCATGTCACATACTGATATCTTAACTATATTATTGTCGTCCGAACTGAAGATGTTGAGTATCGTGTCATGTCATGATTGGCGATGCCATTCGTCGCAGTGTGAAAACGCCCAATTTGTAAGTTGCCACGTTCCGCGTCGAACAAGACGCGACGCATCGTGTATAAAATATGGGCCTACTCTAATTATATACATATCTATCAGATTTATGTATTTTTTTCAGGTACTCCAACAGTAGCAGATATAACAAGAGACATGGTGCGTCACGAATCTAGTTTCAGAAAATTATAATGACGTTTCAAAAAGGCTAAAAAACTTCAAAGTATTACAACTAATTTATTTTTGTTACGAAGTTTTTTGTTGTATTATTTAGTATAACGTTCAATATAAAGTTTGTATAAAAACTTTTATTGTATTTATTGTATGAGCGCTTATTAAAAGTTTTTTTTTTATGTTTACGTTCACTGTCGATCGTGAGTGCGTTAAGATTTTATAGTATGGAATGAGACTCAGGTACTACCGTACTACTACCGAGAACTACAAATCTCCATACAAATTTTTAACTTACTCTAGCTACTTTTTTCAATACTCATTCCTCACACACAAAAAGAAAAGTAATAATGTTACATATCAAACATGTATTGTCAAAATTATTTTAAGCGTATAATTTACTATACAAATTGTAAAGCTCTCGATGTGTTCTGGAATAAGGACAACAACATTTCTATGATCAATATTTAAAAATAGCAACTTGTGTGCAAAGTTAAAATATTTAGCCACCAGGTACATAAAAACTCGTGAAACAATAGCTAGATCCCGTTTCCTAATATTATTTACTTTATCCAGTAAATATATTTTTAACTACCACAAATGCATTTTCATTTTATCCTCAAATGTACTTTTAGAATATTATTATGATATGCACGCCGTTCACCCGTAGATATCATTGGATATTGTGACTGCAAAGCGGTTACTATTTGAATCCTTGTCAACCGTCAAAAGTATGAAAACTCGTCGAAGAGATAGAAATACCTTACGGGATATACTAATGTGACAGATCCTGAAAAATTACCAGTTACAGTACCAGTTTTGTTGCGCGTGAACTTCAAATATTATCATTGGTTCTGTTACTAAATTTTTAGTTGTAATACAGATAAATAATATAAAAATTTTACCTTACAATAAAATTTGTATTATGTTTCCTCCTGACGTCCGAAGTCCATTATGGGAGAAAGTACATCGTTTTCTTACTTTTTATTTCCTGTAATGTCGCTATCTCCAGTTCCGTTTCCGCTGTACGTCCGCAGCGCCCCCTAGCGCCCTTAAGAAAAACTTTCTCCCGCCAAAGACAAGCCGCCATATTTGTCATTATTCGGCTCATAATGGTGATAATGTTAACCACCAGGAAAACATTATGTGGACTTCGGACGTCAGGAGGAAACATAATACAAATTTTATTGTAAGGTAAAATTTTTATATTATGTGTTCCGTTAGACGTCCGAAGTCCATTATGAGAGAGTTGTTTGTTATCTCCTGGTGGCTTGTAAGGAATGTAATAAAGTGCAACAATGTGATAATTGAAAGTATTGTATTAATTACCAATCAGGGTTATATAAACATTAAGAATTACGTTACATAGAATAGATTTAAATTAAATAAAGAATTTAATCATTAGAAAATAATAGAGAGAGAGATTGTTCATCAGTCACGTTATCATTATTGGATTCGATTTGTCTTAGATAGAACTTTCTAAAAGTTTGTTCGTGCTTCCAGTTAGCTTTTGCTAAAATATCGTTAATAGAGTAATTTTCCATCCAATTTAAGGATGCCACCGCCGACCTAAAACTGCCAGCTGATGCTTGCACTCCAGCTTCCGATAGAAGGTGCTTAAGCCAGTTTCCTATAACTGTACGAGATGCAGGCTTAGGGGTGCCTTTAGTGGTTATAAATAAGTTTGTAATTGGTCCACGGATATCATTAGTCAGATTTTTTAATATTCTGAGCCAACGCAATGGATCTATGTTGTTATCGGGAGAAGAAAGAAGAGTCCAGTTAGACTGTTTATAATTGGCGGAGTCTGTTTTTGAACCGAAAGCGGGAATTAATGTAATTGAATTTTGATTATCTATGAAATGACTATCATCACAATGCAAAAGAGTAAGATCATGGACTCTTCTTCCTGAGGCTAGTAAGAGGATTGCTGCTACGCGCCTAGAGACATCATAAAGGCTGTCAGGATTAGGTAACATATTTTTTAAGAAATTAATGAGAATTCGAGCGTCCCATATAGGAGCTTTAGGCTGCACTGGTTTCGATAAAGATATTGCTTTCAGAATATGCCGAACTATGTGACTGGATGAAATTTTTGTGTCTGATGAAGTTTCACAAATGGAAGCAATAACAGACTTGTAAACAAGAATGGTTCGGTAAGCTAAACGATGAACTAGATGTAGACATGCCAAAAATCTAGCTACGTCTGTAGGCATGGGCGAATAAGAATTAATATTTTTATCCTGACACCAAGCAGACCATTTGTTCCAAATTGGGATATAAGTTTTCATTGTCGAAGCTCTCCAACAAGATTTTAGTAGATCTTTTTCTTCCGGTGACCAATTTACAGTCAACGAATCCCACCCGAAATGAGCCAAGCTTCCAGATGTAGGTTGCTGACCCCTGGAGGTGCTCGGCCTGTAACTGTGTCCGTAAGGTAATGGTGAAGGTTGATTATCTTTCGAGGACGGGTCAGGGATCTGTTTTTCAGGTCGGGTCTCCAGAAGGGCTTCTTCCACTTGGGTGCTATTATTACGAATCGACCTCGGGCTGTGTTCAAGTGACTGAGTACTCGAGGTATTAAGCCTGGTGGCGCGAAAATCCATGCCAGTTCGTAGTCCCAAATCCTGCTGAAGGCGTCGTGAAAGCATGCGTTCGAGTCTGATAAGTCTAGTGTAGCATAATTCGGCACGACGTGAGCTGTCTGAGAAGCGAATAAGTCGATTTCCGGCACTCCCCATCTTTGAAATATATCTAGTGTAGCTTTGCCTTGAAGTGACCACTCTGCGCCGGTTTGGTTCCTCGACAGGTGATCGGCTTCGGTGTTGTATATTCCTGGAAGATGATAAGGGAGTAGTATAATATTGAGGTTGTCTGTTAGGGTTAGCAACTTCTTTGTCAGATCCAATAATTTTTGTGACTTCGTTCCGCCCTCGTTTTTTATGTAAGATATTACTGTTTTGTTGTCTGTTTGAAACAAAATTTTCGAGTTTTTCAGGTTCGTGGCGTGTGCTGAAATCGCAGCTATCACCGCGTACATTTCTTTCATATTGCAATGCCAAGATTTCTGATGATTCTCCCAGGGCCCCTGTACACTGATGTTGTTGACTAGAGCACCCCATTGGATATCCGAAGCATCCGTGATTAAGTAATTTGTAACAGGTTTCTTCAGATGGATGGGTGTTTTTAAATGTACATTTTCCAGCCACCATTCCAGCTCTATGATTGCATCGGCGGTGAGCTGACAATGCTTGCTCATGGCACGGCGAAGCTGGTTGCTGTGACGCTGCAAAGTTCGGCAATGCAACCTTCCCCGGTGGGTGATGAAGGAAGCAAAATTGAGGTGCCCTAAGAGACATTGCGCCTGCTTGAGGGACCAACTGCCTGCAGCGAGTCGAGTCAATAAAATTTGGCGCAGCTTCGCCAGCTTTTTCGGCGGAAGGGATTTCGTATTGTGGTGAATATCCCAAGCGATTCCAAGAAATTCGATCGATTGTGTAGGTTTTGTGATCGACTTTTCTTTGTTGATTGACCAGCCTAGATGAGTTAAGAATTTGATGGCTGTTGATACGTGAGTCTCTAAGACCTTTCTGTTCTGGTGAACCAACAAAAAGTCGTCGAGATATACTACAAGGCGCATTCCCATTTCTCGTAGCTTTTCTGCAACCCAATTCGTCACTGACGCGAATAACCGAGGAGCCGCAGCTAGTCCAAACGGTAGACACGTCATTTGAAGTAGCTGTCCGTTGTAGCTGACGCGGAGATAAGGTCGATGCTCTGGGCTTATTGGCAGATGAAAGTAAGCCTGGTGGAGATCTAACTTCACCATCCAGTCGAATGGTTGAAGAAACTCGTGCATGTGATGGTGATTGAAGAGACGAAATGGTTTGGGATCCATGAAACGATTTAAGGCTTTCAAGTTCAAAATTATGCGGGACTTTCCGTTTGATTTTATAACTAGGAACATTGGTGAAATGAAGGAGGGTGTCAGAGGAGCTATTTCCAAAACCTTCTTCTTGATGAGTATATTTATCTCCAGCGACATTGCTTGCGAAATCGGAGTTTGAAAATTTTTCATTAGTTCTAAGCTTGGCAATACCAGAGGGGCGTGACTTTTGAAAGGAATTCGAGTTCCAGTTATTAAACTTAGTATCGTTTTCGGTGGGTATAACCGGGACCAATTCTTGTGGAAGAACCTCAAACACCCCTCCCCCCCGTAAACGTGACCGAGTCATTTTCTTTTATTATGATGTCTTTTACTGGTTCTATCTTTCCGTCCGCCTCTTCTATTTGTAGAGAAATCTTCGAAGGGTTTTTGCGAACTACCGGTTTCTCTTTGCCCATTACGCTTCTTATTGGTGACTCGAAATGGCTTGTTCTCGAACGACGTAGAGGGTTGGGGAGATTTTGGCCTAGGCTGTTTTGTGTTACGATTTCCCACTTTTTCTATTTTATCCAGTCCTCCAATTTTTTGTATGTAAGACGATAATTGTTGAGGGTTAAACATATATTCGCAAGACGGAGGAATTTTCTCTAGATCTTCTCGAATATATTTATCTTTTACGGATTTCAGTAGTGTACGACGTCGTAGTTCAAGAACTTCCGCTCTTTTCCCACAAATAATTTGTAAGATATCGTGAGATATATTCTTATATGCCGAGTCGTTTCCAAATAAATCCTTCAGTTTTGAATAAAGACTCGACGGCGTCATTTGCACATTAGATGTGGCAGACCAGTCAATCAGGTTTTGTAAAGCTGAATTTACCGATTCATTTTGTGCTAGAAATGCGTTCGATAGTGTCGCAAAACTACGTTCCATTTGAAACCATCTTAAAGGAGCGAAGGGGTCTTCTAAACGTCGCATTTCTTCATTTACTTTTAATTCGATGAAGGCGGGGGTAGCAATATATTTTTTCTGAATGTCCGAATATCGCACTGAATTCCAATCAGGTGAATCAAATCTTTGCATGGAAGAAATTTTTGCTAATCTTTCCGGATTTGCTTTAGATATCGAGGGTTCTTTAACGGATACATCTAATTCTGCTATGTCACCTAGCTTTGAAACCGTTTCTACAGGAG